TCCCAACACAGTTGCTAAATGCATTAACATTAACTTACCCATGATTGCTTCTTTTTCTGGAAGTTATCAGATGTTGTAGGAGGAGAAACCAAGAGAAAAACCTTGGTAAATGTGGGTCTTTGGGCAGGAACCGTCTCACAACTACACTGGCCAACGTTAAAAAAGGCTGGGTCACGTGACGACACGTACACGTCGGCATTTAGAGCCTAAATTTCAGGCGTTGTATGGTCACATCCTGTCAAAATCAGAACAATCGAGTTAAAATACACCAATTTGTAAGCTTCCGACTCATTTATAAGAGTCAACGGGGGTAAGGTCACGGTATTTAAACAGTTTTTAGGTTCCAGTCTAATAGGTTTTAACTATCTATTCGCTGCATATTGGTAGACAATCACAAGATACAAATATCATACTTGTAAAAGACTAATAATAAAATCACTACCCTCTACGTAGCTACTGACTTGGCATCTGTAATTCTCCTTCCCCCTCCACGTATTCCCACGTATTCCACACTGATTCCACATCACCCCGATCCCTATTATGACTCAGAGCCCTTTTTTATAGACAGGGGCGGATCCAGGAATTTCTTACCGGGGTGGGGGGGGGGGGGGGCTGGATCCGTCCCTGATAGATATTGCTTTGTATTTGTATAATTGGTTTGTATTTATTTTATCTGTGAAATTATAATAAGCCTCGAGAACTGTGAGATACCCTTTACAATAATTTGTTTGTAAACGCCAGCTATAACCCCGCCATAATTAGCCGTAATACTACTAGATGAGGGGAAAATTTTTATCCATATGTGTGCAATGTAAAATGGGAACACTTATGAAAGTACCCGAAAATTGATTAGTGCCTTATGGCTCCCTCTAAAAAAAAAAGGGGGGGGGCGCAGAAAACAAAAAACAGAAAACGCGTAACTATAAGGGGATGTTTTTTTTTTTATAGAAAAACGTCCATTTTGGGCCATTTTCGAGAAAAAGGGTATTTTCAAAATGGTGCTGTACGCTCCAGTGATACGTGTTTAGGGGTAATTTTATAGCCTCCAGGGCCAGACCGCGGGAGAAAAAAAAAGGGGTGGGGGGGTAATACTGCGCATTGGCGAGACTACCGGTCGCCGCCTGCGCCTGCCGGTCTTTAGATCTTCAGTAGATCAAGATGGATGCCCCCGATACCGCCCAAGACCTACCAAGTCTCACGCACATAGCTGGTCCCTTATAATTTGTATATAGGGCCTACTTTGTTTTGCATAGTAGAATAGTAACTGTTCATCGTATATTGTGTACTTTTTAAAAAAACTACATGTACCGTATAGATCAAATTTGAAATGTAATCCTTTTTTTTCCATTAAACTCATTTGGAAGTGTATAGGTTGATGTTATTGCTTCTCTATTGAAATCAATTTCAGTTACATTGTGAATTTTACGTCAGAATTAGCGCAATTTGATTTATTTCACTTTGTCAACAACTGAAATGGTAATCCATATCGCACTTCAAAATGTTCAAGGGGTTACAATTTGACAATTAATACTTGTTTAGGAGCAGTGGCGTAGACAGGTTCGTACACCTGGGGGGGATGACTCAGGGGCGGATCTAGCTTTTTGCTAAGGGGGGGGGTTGACCAATAATGACGATGCGGAGCATCGTCGACGAGCCGCGAAGCGGCGAGCCGATTTTTTTTGGGGTGTTTATTTGAACCCCGTAAGTGATGTTTTCCTGGCATCTATTAACACAATGGAGACCATAAAAAGCAGTGCATGATAACGTCTTTTTAAATCAAGTAACAGTTAAATACACAGTTATATCCAGAGTGATCATGTGTTTGGTTAAGTTACCAGAGGAGTTGAATATCTTCTCACAATACTTGCACTTGAAAGGGTTTCTCTCCAGCGTGCGTTCTTTTTTCTTTCTTTTTTTCTTTTTTTTTCTTCTTTTTTTTTCCTTTTTTTTTGTTTGTTTGTTTTTTGGGCCGCCCAAGGGGGTGGGGGTTTAAACCCCCTAAACCCCCCCCCCCCCCCCCGTAGATCCGCGCCTGTTTAATCTTGTGGTTATCTTGTGGTTTCCAAACCACAAGATAACCAAAAAATACTTGTAAGATTTTCTTTTTTTTACCGTCTGAATTGGCTTTCACCGTGTGAATGCGGCTAATAACAATAAACACAATTACAATAATGATGAGGATTATTATCATCATCATAATGATTATTATTATTAATATTATAATTGTTATCATTATTATTATTACTATTATTATCATCATTATGACTTATTAAGTAAGCAAATATCATTCCCCAAAACCTGGGGGGGATGATTGTACATGCCATCCCCCCCACCTTGTGAGGTGGGGGGGATGCATCCCCCTCATCCCCCCCGTTGTCTACGCCCTGTTTAGGAGACTAGGAGTACACTTTTTTGAAATACCCGTTTAGGGTGTGACTTTGGGAAAAAACGACGCGAAATCCTTATGCATTTTGGGTGTATTTTGGCTTCCGTAAGAAGCCCTCGTTTGTCTGGAAAACTTCTGACCACGCATGCTTACAGTATTATTTCTACATGACTGAGACCCCGGGGAGGCACCCCAATCGAGAGATAAAACTAAACTAAAATTTGAAAAAAGCGAGAAAAAAGGGGCGCACGAATGAGAAAAGAAGACGACTGGACCATGATCCCTACCCTCGCCCTAATCAGTAGCCAGTGTAAATTCGCATTTCGTTATTTTCCGACCGCGGTTCTCAGTTCCCCACCCCCTTTGCCATCTTTCCACGACTCGCGCTATAAATAGTACGCCAACTCAATAGCAGGTAAAAATAATTTTCTAAATATTGGCACTCGAACAGTGGCGTATACGCTGGATTTTTTTCAAGGGGGGGGGGGGGGTGTTTTAAAATTTGAAAATCGCGCCGAATATTTCGCAACGACTCAGCCATCCTCTGAATAAGCGGGGGGTAAGAACACTTTTTATTTGATTGGTCCCAACAATTTCGAAACGACTCAGCCAGCCGCTGAATAGGGGGGGGGGGGGGGAACACATTTCCCCCCCTCCTTTAGCCCAAACATTTTAGGGGGGTTTAACCCCCCCCCCCCCCCTGCGTACGCGTCTACACTCGATCACAGTCATGTAAATCTAGGGAAAGCATTTAGGCATATACATGTGTATATGACAAGCCCATTCTTTTTTTATTTTTTATTTGTGTGTTTATAGTAAATTTTCAATCATATAAAAATTACATATTTTCAAGTCATTGGTAATAATTAGACAAACAAACAAACAAAAAACCAATATGTATAAGTACAAATAACAATAATGAAAGGACAAGAAAGTTATACAAAACCATTACAGTAAAGAAAGACCTTGAATTTACCCAAAACATCCATCACTGGCGCCATTGGCGTCAATCCTGGGGGGACGGGGGGGGGGGGGGGTGGACACGTCCCCCACGAATTTTCAGGTGGTGAAATGTCCCCCCCCCCCCCCATGATTTAGGGTTAAAATTTTCTTTCTTTTTTTTCTTTCTTTCTCTCTTTTTCTCTGTGTTGAGAAAAATCAAGCCAAATCAGGCGATCAGATTTTATTAATAGAAGCGTCATTAATATAACATTCACATTACCGTTAGTTTAAACATTGGTTTACGATGAAAATCCTTTCACCAACTGAAAAAAAAAAATCAAATTAATCCCTTGTATCTTCCAAACCTTGTGGCTGATTGTTCAATGGAAACGACAATTTCATCTATCTACCCCCCCCCCCTCTTGCGTTCTAGTTCCTGTTAGTTGAACTTAAGACTGTTTCATTTTTAATTTGGTAAAAATTATGCCCCAAATCAAGCCATATATCCATCAATTAAAAAAAAAATCTTCAACTTCTGTGGGGGGCACACCCCCTTCGTTCTACTGTTTTATTTTTAATTTGGCAAAAAGTATGCACCAAATCAAGCCATTTATACATCAATTTAAAACAAAATCTTCAACTTCTGAAGGGGGCACACCCCCTCAGACACCCCACCCCCTGTGTGGCGCGCCCATTCGCCCCTAACAAAATAACCTGGCGCCGCCCTGTCTGAAGTTGTGTCCCCCCCCCCCACGGTCTAATTTGGATTGACGCCCATGACTGGCGCACACGAACATGGTCTTAAGTAGTTTTATTTTTTTTAAATATTCTCTACAAACCCTCCAGATACAAAAAACATTCTAAACTTCATCATGATATTATCATGTCACCACACCGTCAGTTTCTGTGGAATCGAGGTGGAAAGGCATCATGCATTGTGTATGCGCCCCTGAGGGATATACACTACACATAGAAATCATAATTTTAACTACAGTGCATAAAGCGGATTGAGGGGGCACAGGAATAAAAGTTAAACAACATGATATCATAAGTCAAATCGCCATTTCTTAAAATGCGAAACAAGCTTGTTTCTTTTTTTCGCTGAGAAATATTCAATACTCTTTTTGTTTCTTTATAAAACTCTTAAAAAGATCAACACTTGGTAAATCCCCCTTAAATTTACAAATATAAATATAGTATTTTGCCATGCACTAACAAGAGATGTAATGAATCTGTCTGATAAAAAGCCAAAAAGTTTTTCAAAATTGGTAAGGTTAAATTTATTAATATGTTGTTTTTTATTATGTTTAACAAATATGTCCATATCGGGGTAACCTTTTCATGACAAGCCCATTCTTAAATGACGATGTCAAAATGAAGATTGATTTTGTAGCAAGGCCAATACGGAGGCAAAATTTCGCTCCCGCTCCAGAAAAAAAACCCCTTGGACCGAGTAATGGGCAAAGCCTGTTTCCATGGCCATGCACATCTCAATCGATCAGCTGCGGCATTTCTTCGAATTATGCATCTTTAGTGTGGCATACATATTTACCATTTCTTTTCAATGACTTCTTAACGAAACAAGTTATATAGCGATTTTGCCATAAATGTAATGATATAATTCAGCTTTGGATTATTATGGAATTTTGTCAGTGGGGATAAGCCACTGGAAACCATGACGCATTGACGTCATTCAATAAACAAGATGGCGGAAACTCGATATGCCTCGAAGTTTTCAAGAGGAAATTTTGCATCAACTCGTAAATCATCTACTGCCGATCGCGCTTTAGTTAGAGCTTGAAAGAAATGTGAGAGAAGACGCTTCGGTACTGAATTTTAATTTCTATTTTTCTAGCTTGTGCTTCAGAAGTTCAGACTGATTGATAATGGGATCAGCAAATTCATCAACCAGCGGCCCTGCAAGAGAGCCTGCACCCCATGAGTCGGCGCAAGTCGAACAGAATTTCCGCTCTGACAATGAGCGAGTTATGCAGCTTGCTCGGGCAATGACAACTGCGAAGAAAAGACGTCACCAAACTCCGGCATCATTGATGGCTAGTCAGGGAAATGACTTTGAAACGTACAATGTGAGAAGTTCCCCATTCATTTAATTTCTAGATTTATCTTCGAAAGTTCTAGATATTGATTAGTTAATAAAGTCTTAATTAGATTCTAAGTTTAGTTTTAAAAAGTCAGATCTGATTCTGAATTTGATCAGTCAATGAATTCAATTTAATCAACGATGAATGAATAACAACTGACAATGTCAGTGATCTCATGAACTTTAATAATCAACATGATTAAAATCAACTTGAAACAAACAAATGAAATTGAAAGAATGAAGTTATTAATCAAAATGAATAGATCTAAACTCAATTATCAAAAAAAAAAAAAAAAATTGAATGAGCCTGAGCCCTGAAAATGAAATGTAATGTATATACCTAACCCAAACTAGGCTTGTCACCATTAAGAAAGCAACCTCAACCACTTGCCGTCTTTGCCACCAGGAAGATGAGGATAATATCCACTTTGTGGCCTCCTGTAGTATCCTAGCGTCACACCGAAGTGACTTCATCGGAGAAATGCAGAGCAGACACTTTTCTGAAACCACCCTCTCATACTTCAACTTCAATGATGGCTTTGCATTCACAAAAGCTATACTTCTTCCCAACCACCTCATGCTCCCATCAAATCTATATGATAGACTGAACACTCTAATTCTACTCTTCCTCCATAAAATTCACATTGCCCGTACCTCTATCCTTTCCTCTCCCACTTGAATGTTTGTAACTACAATGTCAACAGCTGGAGACGAAAGGCACCAACACTGACGCTTGCAGAATACAACTGCAGATCTCCGAGAACAACGGAGGAAGAAGAAGAAGAAGAAGTATCGTCAATGACTGAATTCTGAAATTTGAATGAATGGAATAATCAAATGAAGTGAATGATCGACTGATAAAAGAATGATAAAAAGAATGAATGAACATGGTATTGATTGGTCTGATCTAGATGATCTACTTGAGAATCTTGGCCTTGAAAGCAGGGGTGGACTTAGACCGAATTTTCCATCTCTTTCGTTCGTTAGCCTCTTATTGGGGTAGGGTCGGCCGGCCGGCTCTCTCTAAAGAGAGAGCCGGCCGACCCTACCCCAATAAGAGGCTCTAAAGAGAGAGCCGGCCGACCCTACCCCAATAAGAGGCTAACGAACGAAAGAGACGGAAAATTCGATCTAGGGTGGACTGGCCATGGGGAGTAAAAGGTCTTTCGGGATTTTTCCCCATGGGCCGCTCAATATTTTGCATTAGGGGCCAGTTAAGATATGTTCTACGGGTCGATTTGATCAGAAAGTAAATTGATTTATTTTTAAAGAAAATATGAAAACGATCTTCTGCAAAGCACAAAACTTTTTCATGAAATTTGGGAATGCATATTTTATAGCATATGTAGAGCGGGTCAGACAGTGGATATTCAGTCCCAGTCCACCCCTGCCTCAAAGTCATATGTTAAGAAATGACTAGATCTAGATCTAGTATATAAAGCAAATTTGGATCTAATAATAAAAGTGAGGTTTTGATATATTTTGTTTGAATGATGTCTGCAGGAGAGCATCTTTATTCTGAAGCAGCTTTTCAAGCGCATGGATCCAGCAGTCACCAAGACATTGGGAGATGCCAAGGGAGAGGTGAAACTATCCTTGAAATATGATAAACGAAGGAGTATGCTTCTCGTCAAAGTGGTATCTGCAAGGGATCTCAGTGCAAAGGACATCAGAGGGCGCACATCTGATCCATATGTTCAGGTAAATTTAAGGTTGATTGAAACAGGAATGGAGTGCAAGATAAATGTGACAAATGCCATAGTACCTTGATTGGAACATGAGTCTATCGAGGTTCTCCTTGTAAAAGCATAAATGTATATGCTTACTTAACAGTCATGTAAATGACAACAATTGAATATCAGAAAGAGACACATAATCTAGATTACTAAGTACTCTTTTTAACTTTTCCCTTTTGTTTTCATTAATTCTGGCAATGTGATTCTTGCAAGTGATAATGTGCTTTGAAAACATGTATACTTTTATCATTTTTATTAATTCATCACCTTCCACAAATTGAAGTCAAATTATTGTGATTCTTAAAATTGTTTGTATAGACTATATTTCCGTCAATTTGGAAATACAGTACCTTTATCATTTGTGCTTTATTAGATTAAAAATATGTTTAAGTATGAGTGGGAAAACAAATCTGCTCATCCGTGTAATTATGAAGCCACATAATTAAGTTGAGATAAGACCGTTACTTTTGAAATGAATAGTCACTAAATTTTCTTGTATCTAGATGGAACTCATTCCTGACCTCCATGATGAAGGGAAGAAGTCAACTCAGTATGTCAAGAAGACTCTCAATCCCACCTTCAATGAAATCTTCACCTTCAAGCTGAGTGAAGAGGACATTGCAGAGACTCAGTTGAGAGTGAGAGTACTAAGTCATGATCCGTTTGGGAAGGCTGACTTCATAGGGGAGAACATCATCCAACTTGGAAGCATGGATTTCAGTGACATCATCACCAGCTGGTTCGATTTGCAACCAGAGGTAGTTAGACGTCTCTTGATTTTATAACATGCATAATGTTAAAGCCATGATTGTTTTGATGTAACATCAATCTAGAAAATGTTCAAATCTCACACAATTTTGCTATAAAAATAATCATGTAAGATTGATTACACTTCTATTGGACTCTGTCTTTGTGATGCATAGATCAGTGTGATTATGGCTTCTTTTTAAACAAGGGTTGTTTATCTCTGTGTTGTTTTGATCCTGACTTGAACTGTGATGTACATGTTTATGAAACCTTTCCTTGAATAGCAGTCACAATATATATTATGTCAAAATGTGTCATATTACATTATGTAGCATGAAACATGAAACATTAAATATTCTCATGTCTTATATCATCATGTAATAAATGTTTGTGAACTGTTAGGACTATGCTTCTATTTTGATGCATATGCATGTTGCTTTTTAACCCTATCTTGCTGTAGACTGATCTGGGCATCCAAGGAGAGCTCGAGATCACCTTGACCTACCAGCTACCAGACACCCTGAAGGTCAGAGTTCATAGTGCAGGAGGACTAGTCTGCAGGGATGCTAAGAAGATGCCACACCCCTACGTCAAGGTCCTGATTCCAGGCATACACAAGGTGGAGGAGACCAAGGTCCAGAAGAAGATGCTGGATCCCGTCTGGGAGGAGACCTTTGACTTCACGCTGGCTCAGGAGGAGTTCACGAACAGGTAAGACCTTTGTCTCATAACCTCTCAACCTTTGTCTCATAGGATGGGTAAATTGCATGACACAACAATAGGACAATGATTATCAGTCATTGAAACAATCGGATGGGAACAGGTAGCGATTTTCAAAAAAAGATCTCTGGATAAGCTGCTTTAACATCAGCCTTTATTAAATAGTGATTGTTACAGTTTATGGATTTGTGAATATTCAATGTAATTGTAAAAGTGAATTAATGATTGTCTTATTTTTAAAAATTTCTAATTGACTAGAATGATGTATCTTGCTGGGTACAGTACTGAGGGAAAATAAAAAGAGAATTTAATAGATAACCATTTTACTAAAGTGGGAGATTTCGCAAGTTACATCACAGTTGAATGATCCAATTTTCTTTTTAACCATTCAATATCATGGTTCTTTAATTTGTTCTGCTTTCACACAAATTACTAAGGTTTGGTTAACCTATAATAAAAATGGAGGGGGAGGGGGCAGTAATAACACACAACCATTATTAAGGATATTCAAGTCTTTGTGGTAATATGTTTTAACCCTTTATTCCTGCTGTTGTGATTCGCCTCACTGCAGATATTTGGTCCTGCATGTGCTTGACAAAGCTCTAGTTGGAGACAGTGAGGACATGGGACAGGTGTTCATTGATCTGGATAATTTGGACATCAGTCAGGGGTTCTCAGGAAAGTTCCCTTTGGCAGACTTGGTAAAATATTTTTATCTTTTTCTTGAATTCTGCAAACCATGTTTAAACAAGCTAGTCAACATGTAAACGAATGGCAATGGGGAAGGGAAAAAAGGCTGTAAAGTGTACTTACTTATCATAGCGTTATCATATTTTAAAATGTGAAGCCCACTATAATTTGTTGTTGTTGCTGTTTGTTTGTTTGTTATTGTTGTTGTTTTATATTTTCATTACATTGTGCTGCAGTGTTCTATCAGTGTTGTATTGTGTTATAGGTAAATGAGGCTTTAGTGACAGATGAGCTGCACTTTTAAAGTATATTTTACTGTAAGAAAGTTGTGTTTTGCTTCTAACTCAGACTCAGAAAAGGTTAGACAAGTATGTAGATTAGGGTATGTATTGATTGAAGGGTAGTGTAGGATTTCAGGAAATAATATATTCAAGAATTTTAAAATATTATTGTGGTAGTCTGCCTTATGGTATGGCTATTTCGGTAGGTAAACATTCTCATGGATTAAACTTTGCTGATCTACGATTACTTTTTGCTTATCATAACTGCCACATTCATGTATTAATGTAAATTTTAATGAGAGCAAGAAAAAAAAAACAATTCAGGAATCTTTGCACTCATTCCTCTGTCTTTTTTAATTGTAGAAAAACTCTGAGAGGACAAGGACCAAGTGGTCACAGACTGCTACAGTGCAAGAGTTCCGGGAAGCTATGTATGCCCACTCTGTATACAGGTACCCAGGCTTAGTCTTTCAGAAGCAGAGAGGCAACAAGGTAAGTCCATCAGTATATTTATTATCTGTGGCATGATGTGATTGTAAATCGAACTTTAAAATGTACATGGTAACCATGTTTTTGTCATGTTTATTTTTGTTTGATTGTTTATGTTTCAGGTGTTGACAGTCCACAGTCGTAAGGCAGGGTCTTCTGCAAAGGTTCGGATCGTTAATGGAGTACCAACTTGAAATTCCCTTTCATCATCATCAGCTGGTCATGCATAGTCTGAACTCTGAATCCAGATGCACTGGGCCTGACTAAAGCAGATATTGAATGTGGTTGTAAATAGTTGTAAACTATTTTACATCAATATCTAATGCAACTCCGTGCCACTGGTCAGTATTCTTGAAAGTGGACTAAACTACTTAGGCCACGTTTAAACACAACTAAAAGCATTGAATAAGTCCAGCCAGTTATGAAGTACTAAATGTCAACCTCTACATCATCTGTTTAAGTTACAATAATTCAGTGACTAAATTAAACCACAAAAATATTTTCACAATGAAATATTTTGTTCTCACTTTCATTGAATGATTGAATTATTTTCACTTTTGGGAGTATTTTGTTACACAATTAGAGTAATTTGTTCAAAATGAGATTGTTGACATCTGGTCTTCTATAAGTCAGTGGACTTTTAAAGGTGAGCCAAGTTTGATTTAATTCATTTTTAAGAATAATAGTCGTGACTCATGAGTTTTACCCCTTTCGGATGCAGGACTCCTTACTTGAAATGCAGTTTTCTGACGCAGTCTTCTCTTTTATTCAAAATCTGTATTCACACTTCTCTCCATACAATGAGATAGTGCTCCAACACAAATACAGGATCAAAGGACCATTAATCTTTTTTATATTAAGCACATTAATATCAGAAATCCTAGCAGATAGGGTTTGGGTGGTTTTGTTTTATTTGTGCTTTTATTTGTATAATTGATGACAAACAGGATTTGTGTGTGTACTCATATGTAAAAAACATATTTATTCTCAATGAATTCATTAGAAAGGACACATATATTGGGTGATTTTTTTTAAAGTAGGGTAGGAATAATCATTCAAAAATTCACCTTGAGCTCCATTTTATTGTATGCAATTTTGAGTATGTATATGCAATTATTTAAATGATAATGTCTATTAATTGAAAATTGAAGTAGCAAAATAAAGTTTTTTAATTTTCATCAATATTTTTTTTTATCAGTATCAATACTTTCTGTCAATATTTGCTGTAAACAATGATGTATGCATGGTCTCATTGTTGACTATCATTTTCTTCTACTGAATGAATTTAAGTATTCAGTAACCAACATGTCTCTGTTGTACTCATAGTTATATAGCTAACTATGCCGTAAAATGAGTTTGCTAGTATGTATATTATTTAGTGGTTTGAATGAAGAGGTAATATTAAAGTAATTATGACATTTCTACAATTTTGTGAATTGTAGAATATTCTCCTTGTATAGATAGATTATATGTTTTTAATATTCTTATGATATTGTATAATATTTGTTTGAGTGTGCAAGTGTGTGTTTATGTTTGTTAATATTGGATTTCACATGTACACAAAATTGTAAAATCAGGAATAATAGGAAAGAATGCAACTCATCTCATAATTTTGAACCATGTGAAATACATTTTGATGTAACAAATACATAGATAAATTTAAGAATAAAGGATATATTTCTGACATTGAGTAGTAAGGATCATGTATTTTGGAGAAAACACTTTTCCGTATGTGCAAACACACTTTCAAAGGAGTATGCTTGCAGTAACATAAATCATGTTTGTGTATGAATGAATCCAACTATTTGTAAATTTGCTTTTATACTAATCATTGTTACTGAGCACCATTTAAATCCATAATGACTGCTCATTATGTGGAATAGAGAAATTGAAAAGTCATTGATCCTCCCCCTTCCTTACAAAAGTACTAGATGCAAACATTATAGTTTTATAATATCAAACAGCATTATATCTTTATAGTATAAAGACAATTAACACTGAAATTATGCAAATTTATAACTTCCTATTGTCACAAATTAGATGAAACTATTCTCTACTGGAGTTATATAAGTCATGTGTATTGTGGTTTTACATTTCAAGGGAAAGGAATAACCTTACATTGATGAATATAGTGTGACAGTCTTCTGTATTACCTGCTTGTACATACCGGTATTGTTCCTTGTCTTTATGTAAGAGGGAAAAGATTGAAATTAGCTTTCAGATACTATCCGTCCACTTTAAATATATCTTTGTCTATTTAAGGTTACTGTAAAAATGAAATGTAATGATTATGTAAATAATAATGTATTTGAATTTATGATTCTCAATTTATAATTCATTTTAGATATCTGTAAATCATTATTTCTTAATTTGAATAAAATGTCATCCTTTTTATATTATTTGTGTAATTCTCTAGTTATTTGCTTTAGACTAGTGGCATATTGAAGTATAACGAATGTGGATCCCTAAGACAATGTTTACCTGTGTGACAAACAACCTACATGATTTACTGCAGCATTTTAGAGATTACAGATTTAGCAGAGGGATGTGAATAACAATGAGTTATAAAGTGTTCTGCCCATATTTGTGTGTCTGCCAGTGAGGGGGTTATCAATTTTTGAAAGGATGAAGGAAGAAAAGGGAAATTGGAAAGGGGAAAAAGAAATGATTGAACAAATGTGTTAAAGAAAGGGCACAGAGCTTGCAACAGATCAAGAAACATTTCACAATTTATGGTAACTACTATATACCTAGAAATAAACTTTGTATGATGGACAAAAGAAGTTAAACAGGTTAACAGGAAAACTTTGGCTAAATTGCGCAATGAGGGTCTAAAGTGAAATATCCAAACATTGCATACATACTATACTAGTGATCTAACTCTGGAAAGCTCTGATTAAAAGAGCTCTTGTGAAAAATAAAAACATAAACAAAAGCAGTATAATGTTATATGAGAGATTGGCTATGACTAGTATGAGGAAATCTCACTTTTCCAATGTTATATCTATCACGAAAGAGAGAGAATTAAGAGATATGGAGAAGGGAGGGGGGCTGAAGAGCACTTTTTTTTGTCCATGATTTGATGAAAAATTTCGCAACGTCTCAGCCAGCCGCTGAATAAACTGGGGGGGGGGGGGGGGGTGTAAGAGCACATTTTTTTTTTTGTCCCCGTTTTGGCCGATCGATATTTTGTTCCGTATGGGGGGGGGGGGGGGGGGTATAAGGCCACCTTTTGGGGGGTCACCCATTAGCACAATGTATTTTTCTTATTTTTTATTTTTTATCAAACAAAATTGAGGGGGGGGGGGGGTTCCTCCAAAACACACCAAAAAAAGCCAAATTGAATTCGAAACTTGTGGTGATCATCGAAGAGATCGGAAGATCGATTAGATTGCGTTACATAACTTCGTAAGGTGTCGTATACGTAAGCACAGTCTAGTCGAGTCTGACGTATTAGCATTACGCACTCAGAAATTGCATTGTGACGTGACCCCACAAACTTTTAGTACCAGCCCAGACAACCATGGCAATGTTGCGATCTTTGAGTAATTTGGCAAAATTTACAGCCAAAAATGGAGTCTTCAAACCAACCTGCTTCCAAGGGTCAAGGTTATGTTCCGCAGCTGCTGCAGAAGATGACACGGGGTTAGTATTTTACGGCACAGCCAGGCCAAGGGGCTCGAGTCCGGCGTTAGATTGTCGGCTCAGTCCCGCATGTTATTTTTCATGTAGTACTGCCTACTGTACTGGTGTGGATTTGCATGACACTGCACTCGAGCTCGAGCTCGACTCGTACTCTTGTCTCTGGAAATAACTCCATAAAGGCATACCTATACATAAGGCCTAAAATATAAAGATGTTGTATTGCCCTTTGCGACCGACCCCAAAATCTTGAAATCTATGGTCGGCTTTTACCGTTTTTTTCAGAATCAGAGAACAAAAATATTGAAGCATTCAAAACTGAGAAATATTATCAGCCCAAAGAGGGGAAAAAAAGTTTTAAAAATAAAGATTTCAGACCGACCGACCGACCCATGTTTTGGCACCTAAAGTGAAATTTTACAACATATTTTTTAAAGGCCTAGAAAATCTAATTGTGATTTGATGCGCGGGATAAATCAGGAATAAAAAACACTGCCCTCAAATTATCAACAATGCGGAATTATCAATTGTGTTAAATGATAAATGTTATCTTCTTTTGGAATCTCTACATCTTTTTATCAAGAAGTTGGGGCTAGTTCAGAATCATATCAAGACTTGTAACTCCGGCGTGGAGATACGTTTCCCTTCTAAAACATTCCAAAAATCAATTGTTCAAATAATGGTCATGATTTGTGTAAATTTTTTTATCTCTTATGGAATATTTTCCCTAATAACGAAGACATTATAATAAACACTTTCTCACAGGTTTCATGGCAAACCGCTGCACAATACAATTGCATGCCGTAATGACGATGGGGTGCGGGCGCTTGTGTGAGGACTTAGCAACCGTAATGATGATCATCATCGTCATAATGTGAATTATTTACATGAGGATCTGAGATTACAGTTGCTAACTTCACGCACGCTCCTGCGCCCTCACCCCATTGTAAGTGATGGAGTTGGGTTGGGCTGTCACTTTTTATGCCTCCGTTACGAAGTAGCCGGAGGCATTGGCCCGAATTCACAAAGGAGGTTTAGATTTAACCCAGGCTAAATCTAACCCTGGGTTATTTAGCCCAGGCTAAATCTAACCCTGGGTTATTTAGCCCAGGCTAAATCTAACCCACGGTTTAAACCTCGCTCGGTATTCACAAAGCGTGGGTTAGATAACCCATGGTCTAAATCTAACCCACGGTTTAACCCACGGTTTAAGCATGCCTAAGAGAGCAAAAAATAAACTGAGCATGCGCAGAATTGAAGCATTGAACTGAGCATGCGCGCTCAGTACACTTGGTTACTCCACCTAGTTCACCGTCGTCTGCTAAGTCCAGATTCAGTTGTATTTGGGCTATTACTCTTCGCCTACAAGTAGAGACTGAAAACCGACCGATTCTAAGTTGAGATAAGACTTTAAACCACTATTCACATACTAAAACAGTTCTCTGACAGATGTCCTCAAAATATTACCGAATTTCGCATAAATTACCTCAATAATTCCTCACTATCGTTGTTAATTTATGGCCTATAATCGTCCGACATAATTATGATCAGCTGGGCATCAAAACACACTACCGTATCGACAGTTTTCGTGGAAGAGTCCACAAAAAACTTCTGTAAACGACCCTTATACCAGAGTGAAAATTGTCTATGATGTAGTGTTCATTTTAGAGCTATATGATCACATTTTCGTTGATTGTTATGATGATTTTAGAGCGTAGGTCACACTTTAGTTTAGCAATCAATCAATCCGAAGTAAGAGTAGACTCGTGTTATATATATAGCGTAGACTCCGTAGAGGCAGCGAAAGCGATCGATGACGTTTAGTCCAGAATGTGTTGATGATGTAGAAAGAAAGGGCCGAAAGGTTACGATAAATACTATCTGATAGAAAATACTGGCATTAATGCATAAAATGCATAGATGTATTGAGAAAAAAAAAACCGGGCTTACTGGTCATATAAAATAGGAGGACAGCAAAAACAAGGCAGTCTTGACATGTGATAAAGAATTATTAGGCCGAATTCGGGGGGGGGGGGGGGGGGGGGGGGGACATTAATTGTTTTCTTAGGGGATGGGTTTTTTTTTTTTGAGGGGGGGAGGGGGGGGGGGTTAATTTTGTTCTTAATTTTTCATAGGGGGAGGGGGCATTAATTGTTTTCTTAGGGGGTGGGGGTAATTTTGTTTTTAATTTTTCTTAGGGGGGAGGAGGCATTAATTGTTTTCTTAGGGGGGGGGGGGCTTAATTTTTTCTGAATTTGTTTATTTTCTGTATTAATTCTTTTCTTAGGGGGGCGTTCATTTTTTTTCCTTAATTTTTCTGCTTTATTGAATTTCTCAAGGGAATAGTGATTTAAATAAAAAGAAAAGAACTTTTTTGTAAATTTCGTCTCTACTTCTCACTCTTTTACCTTCCTTGTTTTTGTTTGTTGTCTCTCTTTTTTCACCAGCTCTCCACCCCACCTCTCTCAAATATCTTTTTATTTCGTTAGAACTCCATTTTTTTAAATCCCTCTCGTACCCCTTTTCTTTCTCTTTTTTCTCCACCTCTCTCTCTCACACATACCCTTTCTCCTTCTTTCTTCATCTCTCTCTTTATGTTTTGCTCTCTCTCTCTGTGGGTGTTTGGATTTAGCGAAACATAACAAATCCATTTTTAATTCATGGTGTGTACTGGGTAATTATAAGTAATAGATAACAGCAAATGGTATATTAATACTTAAACAAGATAAACAAAGTAGGTCATTCACTTGTAAAACGTTTACTTCCTAACTTAATGATTTCACGAGAAAAACCACACCATCAAACATGAGAAATTTATATTTAAATATTGACGATTTAATATGGATAATCAAAACAAGTATTCAAGGTTATTGACGAAGACAATGTTGAAGTCGATGATGATGTCAGTGATGATAATGATGACAGCAATGTTGTCGGTGGCGATGGTAATGAAGCAGTCAAATAACGATATCAGTGATGATGTTGATGATGATGAAGATGATGACGATTTCCCTTTCAAAATGGTTGGTACCTTTTGCAAAAATGTTTTTGGGAGGAACTATATCAACCATTAGATTTCAAATCATATGGTCTAATTGTTTCAGACCACAGTACTGCATGGGTGTACGTTTCGTTCAGAGAAACTAAAGGGGAACCAATTCCATATCGGTCATTTAATTAATTGGATTAAAAGTAAATGGGGAGCATCTCCAAAAAAAGGAAAAATTTTCATATCATTAATAGAGTATCTGTTCTTCCAATTAATAAAATACAGGGCTTGATCTCCACCAGGACTCCTGATGTAGACATGAGTCCTAACAATTGCACCTAGAAAACCTGGCAACCTGCAGTATTGGTAGAACTGCTGCTGTGTTGCTTCTACTTCTTCTCTTGATGTTGGGAACTTCATGAATTGTTTCCTTCTTCTTGCAAACGCTTCTGACACGTCTTTGATGACTCTGCATACAGAAGACTGTGAAAGTTGTGCCTCATCACCATGCATCTTTTGGAATGACCCTGTAAAAAAAAAAATCCTTTTAGTGAAATATCAACTAGTACAATTTCTTACAAGTTACATGGCCAGATCAAATTCTCAAACTGAGAAATGTTTAAAGTCCTTAAAATTGTAGAATAGATTTTTTATTAAATCAGGGCTGTCAACCCTCTTTTGCATTTAGAGGGAGTCTCACGCCACCACGCCCTTCCTCCCGCTTTGATGTAGAATCTCCCGGTTTATGAAAAAACCTCCCGCAAAACATGGTAACCGCAATTTTACCCTTTTACTTTTTCGCTCAGCCTAGATTAAATAGAAATTTACTAAATACTAAATAAGGTAAATTACTCACCAACAGCATAGAATCGAAGTGCTGTCACTACCTTTATAGGTATTGGGTCGTTTCTGTCTGTCGTCCTCCTCAGCTCTTCATCCACCAAGTTGATGAGGCAGAGCGCTGTCTCTTTGGAAAACCAGTACCTGGTCCGAAATGACTCATCATCATACACTTCAAAAGGGTTCATGGGTCATAAAGGCCTCTCTGAGGTCTGCCAATCAACTCTCTGTTCCGATCAAGCTGGCGGAGATGGTGAATATATTCACCCATGCTGTCTCTGTCACAACAAAATAGAAAAAAGTGAATTAAAATTAGAACATGAAATGAAAAAATATCATTCATTGTTTATCAAATAAATCCTATGATATTACATGTTTTGCATTCTTTGTATTGTAGACAATCTGATTTTGAATAGCTTTTGCAAACTCTAAAAAAAATATTAACGATACTTTGATTGCATTAAAGAAATGAGTGCTATTGATTCATACTATTGGGTAATTAGGAAAGATGATGTCACTGAACCTCCATAAGAACATAGGGGCCAATTCCTGTCATGTTTTGTTAAAAATCTACTCATGCTTGATAAAATGTGAAATTAGATACATGTAGGCCTACATGTAAATTAGCATTAGATGTCCCATGTGAAAGGTTGAATTTGACTAAGATTACATGTAGATTAGGAAGAACACACATTGATTTATTGGCTATTTGCTTGCACAGATTTTAAAACTTGCTTCAAAATTCAAGTACAACAATGTATTGATGTAGACTCTAGGCCTAGACTTGATCATGATGTAGTATAAATTTGTAGGAGTGTAGATTTCTAGAGACATTTGACAGTCAGTACTAGAGTCTAGTCTAAATCTAGATCTAGATGGGCCTAAAGACAAAGTACCTCTCATTCAGCTCAGACTTGTGCTCGAACTTAGTGACGGTGAGACACACAAACACTCAACTTCTCAAGACACAACACAACAAACCATCGGCGCGGGCTTGGCATGAATTTATGAAAAGTAGGTTTAGACAGGTCTAGGCTAGACCACATAGATCTCTAGACTAGATTCTAGAGCCTGAGGTCTAGATCTATACCGGTAGACCCTACGGCCTAGGTCTACTACTACTAGTTCTAGATCTAGAAAGTCTAGAGTACTAGACTAGACCTAGACTAGACCTAGACTAGATCTAGGCCCTAGACCCTAACGTTAGGTCTATTTTGAAAAATATTTTATTCCATTTCAATTTCTAAATCTAGAATAGGGTCTAGACTAGACTAGGCCCTAGATCTAGGTCTAGATTCTAGACCTAGACCTCTAGATCTAGATCTGCATCTTTTAAAATAATTTACAAAATACTTTTAATAAATTCATGCCATGGTTTGGCGTGCTTTGACTAATTTCTTGAGACTGAGGACTAAAGTTAGATCTAGATAGATCTAGCCTAGGCCTAGATCTATCATCTAGCCTAGGCCCACGTCGTGTTTGCGTGTCTCACTGCCACCGACTTCGAGCTCAAGCTCAGGTCTTATTCAGTCAGTACTTAGTGTCAGTGTAGGCCTAGTAGTACTAGAGACTAGTCTAGATCTAGACCAGGCCTCTGTATAAAGTAGGCCTAGACTAGACTAGTAAAATCCATCAGCGTGGAAGAATTTTCATTTTCATTTCGGCATTTTCGTTCTCCTCCGTTATTTCTAGATGAGAAGCAGCATCAGGCGATCAGCAGAGCAGAAAATGCCAAATGGAACTGTTGCTATACCCCCCCCCCCCCCCCCCCCCCCCCCCCCCGAGAACAGGAATGTCTCAAATGTCATGATCAACATATTTTTCTTCCCGAATCACACAATTGTGTGATGTTATAACTTATTTCGTATTGTTAGCTGGCACATTCGCAGTTGCGAAATTGCCTCGCCTCGCAGGATTACATAAACAACACAACACAAATACACACGCATGGGTCCGAGCTGCGTTAGGTTCTGCGACAATGTTCGCAAAGGCTGTGCAACTTACGATTAAGATTATTATTCGTGCACTTTTTACGCACATAAAACATGTTCAATTGGGCTTCCATTGTAGCAGAACTGAGAATATGGTACACATATGTTGTGAATAACTAAAAATACTTACAATGTAGGCTATCAAAGTTGAAAAAACAGCAACTTTGTGAAGGTCTCTTCACTTTGTTTCACCACAAATTTGTCAACAAAATTTGTACGGTCGTCTGCGCTAAAATTCCAAAGCTCGCTGGTATGACGTCATATGACGCGTTAAACCGTGGGTTAAACCGTGGGTTAGATTTAGCCCGCTGTTTAAACCACCCTTCTGAGCAGGCTAAAATTATGACGTAATATGACGCGATTTAGCCTGGGTTAAATCTAAACTTCCTTTGTGAATACCAAAATAATGACCCATGGTTTAAAGCTCGGGGTTATGACGTATTATGACGCGATTTAGCCTGGGTTAAATCTAAACCTCCTTTGTGAATTCGGGCCAATATGTTTTCGGGTTGTCCGTACGTACGTACGTACGTACATACGTACGTACGTCTGTACGTCTGTACGTACGTACGTCCCGTTCTTGTGATCGCGTTATCTGAAGAACCGATCGATGGATTCCTGCCAAACTTTGGTCATGTATGTATCTTGCAGAGCCGATGAACTGATTAGATTTTGGGGTCACGAGGTCAAAGGTCAAAGGTCACAGGGCTCATTAGGTATGCAAAAACAGCTCGTGATCGCGTTATCTGAAGAACCGATTGATGGATTCCTGCCAAACTTTGGTCATCTTGCAGAGCCAATGAACTGATTAGATTTTGGGGTCATGAGGTCAAAGGTCACAGGGCTCATTATGTATGCATAAACAGCTTGTGATCGCGTTATCTCAAGAACCGATTGATGGATTGCTGCCAAACTTAGGTCATGTATGTTACTTGCAGAGCCGATGAACTGATTAGATTTAGTGGTCATGAGGTCAAAGGTCAAAGGCCACAGCACACATTATGTATGCAATAACAGCTTGTGATCGCGTTATCTCAAGAACCGATTGATGGATTCCTGCCAAAATTAGGTCATGTATGTTACTTGCAGAGCCAATGAACTGAGTAGATTCTTGGTTCATAAGGTCAAAGGTCAAAGATCATGGGCTCATTATGTATGCAAAAATAGCTTGTGAGCGCATTCTCATTAGAACTGACAGATGGATTACTATTTAACTCAGGACATCTTGCAGAGCCAATGAACTGAGTAGATTTTAGGGTCATGAGGTCAAAGATCAAAGGGTCATATATGTATATGAGAAATTGCTTGTAATCACGATATTCTGAGAACCTGTCAATGGATTACAATTGAACTTGAATCCGAAAAATTTCTTCTGTTTTGGTTTGTAAAATTGCTCTATGACGGAGGCATCATTTTCGACTGCGCGCAGTCGAATTCCATCTAGTTCTATTTAGATCTAAATCTACTTCATGATTCAGAAATATTTTATTTTAGATAGTTTCTTTTTAAACAGCAATATTTAGCAAGAATATTTGAATTGATTGTTTTTTCCTCAGTACCACATTCAACAGCGACAGGCCTCTGATTGGTCAGGCTGAGACCATGATGGACATTGGAACCAGGCCTATCTTCAGTGAGGAACATGACATGTTCAGGACCAGTGTCAGGAGATTCTTTCAAGAGGAAGTAGCCCCGAACCAGGACAGGTAATAAATAGATCACCCCCCCCCCCTCCCTCCGTATCAAAAAAAATATTATATATATATATATATAACAATGGCTGGATTCTTCAGATCTTACAAGGATCAGGGGGCAAAAGACTTTCTAAAATTTGATAGAAAAATATAGCAGGAACAATTTTTTTTTAATGTCAATTTTTAAATATATAATAGGTATTGCTATAAATGAACCTTAGTCCATAAGCAGGAATTAGTTTACCCTTGGTCCAAATTCAATATACTTTTTCCACATCCCAGGTGGTGGTTTGTGAAAGCCAAAGTTGGGTCACAAGTTGAAGTATGCATTGCATTGACATAATTATTACCCTTCTCATGGAGAATGTGCCCTGTGTATCTTCAATGAAATTCCCCATGCTTGATATTATAATGTCAATGTTTGGCTTTGTAGGTATGAAAAACAGAGGATGGTGGATAAGGAGTTGTGGGAAGCTATGGGATCAGCTGGACTGCTTGGTGTAGATATCCCTGAGTCACAGGGAGGAATTGGAGGAGATCTGCTCATGACATCTATTGTCTGGGAAGAACAGTAAGTTGAGCTTCTCATTGTATGTGCTAATGATTCTTCTTCTTCTTCTCCTTCTCCTTCTCCGTTTCCTTCTCCTTTTCCTTCACCTTCTCCTTCTCCTTTTCCTTCCTTCTCCTTTTCCATGTACTACTTCTTTTTCTTCTTCTTCTTCTTCTTCTTGTCCTTCTCCTCTTTTCCCTTCTCCCTTTCCTTCCCCTTATCTTCCTTTTCCTCCTCCTTCTCCTCCCCTTCCCATTCTCCTCCTCTTCCCCTTCTCCTCCTCCTTTTTTCTCCTTTCCCTCCTTGTTCTTGTTTTCTACTTCTTTTTCTCCTTCTTCTTCTTCTTCTTCTTCTTCTTCTTCTTCTTCTTCTTCTCCTCTTCTTCTTCTCCTCCTCCTCCTCCTTATTATTCACTATTGAAAGATTGGTGAAGACAATTTTACCAGTTTGTTATTCCTTTGGAATTGTTCCTCTAGATATGATGATATACAAATAGATTTTTTGTTTTCGAAAAACCAATATTGATTCTCCTGTACTAAATATAATAGTCAATACAGTTAAAGTTTTTTGTTGTGTATTCTTTATACTTTTTAGACAAGTTTTAAAAAAACTGAACTACTTTCATGAGCATTTCATTGTGTTAAACACTGCCTTTAACCTTGACATGAAAACCCTTTTTCCATTTTCTACATTTTTATTTTTTTTTAATTTTTTAATTTTTTTTATTTATTTATTTATTTATTTATTTATTATTATTATTTTTTTTTTTTTGGGGGGGGGGGATCAACAGGAGATAATACAACTCCCTTTTTCCCTCATTGGCTGTAGCGTCACTTACTAAACTGTTTTTTTAAATTTTGTATTGACAGAGCTTATGTAAATTCAGCTGGGACAGCCTTTCCTATGCACAGTGACATTGTCATGCCCTACATCAGTCATTATGGTACCCCAGAGCAGATTGAGAAGTTCATACCAGCCATGACAGCTGGAACCAAAGTGGGTGCCTTGGCAATGACAGAACCAGCAGCTGGAAGGTATGAATCCTTCAGACTCATTATAAGGATGAATATCAAGTATAAAACAATTGTAGTACTACGTGTGGTAGCAGCAGCAGCAGATAATTATGCTGCAACAAATTGGCAATGCATAAATAAAATGTCTTCATTTTATGGATTAATCTGCAACAATTTTGATTTAAGGGAAATTACACACAAGAGAATGTGTTGATTTTAGAGAGCGTATGCTTTCACAACTCTTCGCTTGCAGAATAAGGTCAATTGGGTCCATTTCGTGACTTCAATGTGCTGTTTCGTATTTATTCTGCTACCAACGATGAGCTCGTCGATGCGTATGCGCACTGCTTCAAAAATGACTGCATACGTCTCAGTCCACTAGTTAACGTGCAAGTCAAAAAGTCCCCATTGTCCAAGGGAGACACAAAAAGCAGTCTTCATAGGCAGGTGGTCTTAATAGACAGGTCACATGTTTCAGTGATGAACATCATTTCAAAGGGGGGGGGGGATAATGTGGTCTTCATAGACGGGTGTTCTTTCTATTCAGGTGATCACTAAAGCAGATTTGTTTGCAGTAAATGTGAGGTGAGGTATTTGTATCTATGAAGTGAAATGGGGATGGCTAAGTTGGGCTAGAGAGCTTCTGTAATAGTTTGAGCTTAATATAACAAGTTTTAAAACTGAAAAATATCAGATCAACATTAAGTGTGTGTTTACTATCTAGGGATGACAATCATTGGTCACAAGGTCACAAGACTATATAATGGACTCAACACTTATGTAAATAACAAGATTGTGGAGATAAACAGTACATGTTCATGACAAAGAAAGAAACCACTGTACATGGATCTTACCTGAATAAGAAATGTCCACAAACAAAGGAGTATTTGGTTTTCTGTGCTATCTGTGTTATCACTGTATTAGTAAATTTGGCCTTTCACCGATATATGTACATCATAGGTAACATTTTGTTGAAAAAACTTTTGTTCTCCTAAATCATTTGATTTCAATTACCGGTATATATGAAATGTAGCAATGAAACTCAAACATACTGATAGTCACCACATAATACTTTGCGCCCATTAGCATTTCTATAAGCTTTACAGTTAAACTAATATGATTTGTTAAGGCTACATATCTTTCTTTAAACCAGAAATAAAGGTATGGTGGTGAAAAAAAGGAGAAAATTAGCCTTAACTTTTAAGAACAGTGAAGTGCTTAGTCTACCAAAGTATACATTGCATGATGTCTAAATCGCAGAGCCAAAAGCAAGATACAATTGTAATCCAGTGTAGGAAAAAAAAGTGTCTAATTACTTTATGATTTCAGGTTTTTTTCAATCTGAAAATCAGAGAAGATGCAAGATAGAGAACAAAACCATGAAATTCTTATATTTATCAACTTCATTTTTTACTTAGTCTGCAAAGCTTTGTGGTGACTAGTGATACATCTGATATGGGCAAATTTCATTTTTTGCTTGTAAAATCTTATTCTATTGTGTGAAAGTTAATATTTAGAAAAAAAATAAAAAAATTCTAATTATCTGTTAAATTTACAGTGATCTACAGGGCATCAAGACCTCAGCCAAGAAAGATGGGGATGACTACATCCTTAATGGAAGCAAGGTGAGAAAACATCTTTTGAGAGTCAGAGGGATGTTGAGTATAAGTATGCCCTTCCAGCTCTCAAGAGACAAAATAGTATTTTCAGACCATAAATTTAATTTTAGAATGTAAGTTTAAGCTAGGGTGAGGTTTAGGGCTATGTTAGGTGTAGGTTCTTGGTATTGGGTTGAAGTTGGGATTTGGTTGGTATAGGATATTGACCACAGAGCAATTGTCATTTGAGCGTGTGTTGTACGATTTTGATGAATAAAGTTTACTTTACCATGCATTCTGTGGGTTAATGGTTAAGGAGACTGAAGCAAATAAAACATTACATAAAACATCATGCACTGAACTCTATTGTACTCACAATTCCATTTTTATTGGGAGTGTACTTAAACTTGCGATATTTTTTCAGAGAATTAATGTTAGGAGCTCATGTCGTAAAGATAGTATAATCATGTGGGACCCCTACTATACAGAGCAAAAAAACATTGTGAATTGTACACTTAAAGACTTTCTCATCTCATGTTTCTATTTAATACCCAAGGTATTCATCACCAATGGTTGCCTGTCTGATGTGGTGGTGGTTGTAGCCATCACAGATCTGAACGCTAAGAAGAAAGCTCATGGCATCAGTCTTTTCTTGGTTGAAGCCGGTATGCCAGGGTTCACCAAGGGGAAGCCACTGGAGAAGGTCGGACAGAAGTCTGTGGTAAGTCAGAATCTATTTGACTCAAGTTACTATTGACTTTTCCCTTTTTCCCTTTTTCGTAAAGCAGAGCATTCCAAGATCTATTAAAAAGAACAAGGCAAAAACATCTTGAGAATGAGGGTATTTATTTGGTCAATGGTTTTGAGTTCAAAGCTAGGGGCCAATGTATAGAGTGTCAAGCCCTGTATCTTGGTATATTTATATGCAGGAAACCACATTTTGTGTGGTATTTCCTGATCCCATTCAAAATCAGCGATTTTTGTAGAAAGATAGCTTGTATTGAAGGAGAAATCAACCCTAAACATTGAAAAGTGTTATATCCATCATTGTTTCCCTATTCCCACAAAGGATACTTGTGAGCTGTTCTTTGAAGATGTACGCCTCCCAGCCAGTGCGTTGCTGGGTAAGGAGAACCAAGGCTTCTACATGCTGATGAACCAGCTTCCTAGAGAGAGGCTTATCATTGGAGTAGGATGCCAGGCCCATACTGAGTTCATGTTTGAAGAAACAAGGAACTATGTCAGGCAGCGTAAGGCGTTTGGCAAGACTCTGGGAAACATCCAGGTATGTTCTCTCTTATATGTGACTTTCCATTTAGATTTATTGATTTCCAGGGCATAGGTATGATTCTTGCTGTTGTCCACTCCAATCCAGTCCACATGTTTTTGGAATAGCACTTTTTCCTTGCAGTTCAAACTACTTGGCCCGAATTCACAAAGCAAGGTTTGAGCTCAGACCAAGGTTTGAGCTCAAACCTCCTTTTGTTTCGCCAAACCTCCTTTTGTTATTTACAAACCTGGTTTGAAAATAACAAAAGGAGGTTTGGCGAAACAAAAGGAGGTTTGAGCTCAAACCTTGGTCTGAGCTCAAACCTTGCTTTGTGAATTCGGGCCCTTAAGTCTGCAAAGTAGTATAATTAAGGGCTGCTTAAAATGATAAACGGCTTCAAAGCGACCAGTTGAGCCAATAAAATGTATAACAGTCCATGTTTATAACAAGATGGGTGGCCCTACAAGAGTGAAAACACATTATGGATATCATCTTATACAGAAGGAATAACTGTCCTTTTTCAAAAAGCATTGAACAGAATTTATATGTTCTTTTAGCAAATGTAATATCGGTAGACAAACATATAAGCATGATCACTCTATACTCAAATGCTAAGATTGTGATGATACATTTCTTTGGAAAACTATTCAGACTTCTTGTTCACTTTTGACAAGTTGATTTTAAAATTTGTTTGGAAATGCTTGCGCTGTTTCTATTTTGATTCCCCAAGAACATGACACTTGTTATTTCAAACTGCACATTCTTCATGGAAATAAAAAAGTGCAGCTTACTTATTGTAGGGTCATAGCAGTTAAGCTTATTTACAGCAGAGTTGTGAACAAGAGGTTAAAAATTATCTACATAATTGAAGAGTTTAATTCTAAAAGGAGCTAAATCCATTCGTGTAACTTAAGAGAAAAATTAATTGTTTACCAGATTTTGTACAGGCGTCCATGGAAAAGTGATATTAGAAGGTGCATTTTTCCATAATTGTTCCTAAAATTTAGGTACCGTAAATCTCCGTGTATAAGGCGCACCTGTGTATAAGGCGCACCCCTATTTTGGGAAAGGAAAAAAAAAAAAAAAAAAAAAAAAAAAAAAAAAAAAAAAAAAAAAAATCGTTTTTTTTTTTTTGGTTGTTGTTGTTTTGTTGCCGAAAACCCACGCGGGGAAGGACCTTCATTTTACATCGAGGTGCAGTTGAAGGCGCTGATTTGTGCTTGTGAACTTGTCACAAATAATAGTAACAATGTCATTTTTAGAAGAGTGTGTAAGATCATTAATGTAAATTAAAAACAAAAGAGTACATATGGTACCAATGGTGCACCTTGTGGAACACCATTTGCTATACAAAAAAATATTTGAGGAATTATTATTATAAACTACATATTAAGATCTATTAGAAAGATTTCTTTCAAACCAAGATGATAGACAAATTTGAGTGTTGTTGTAGTTTCCGAGTGGTGAGTCAACACACTGATTACTGAGCTGGGAGACATTGCCAGGCATAGCGCCATAAATCGAAACTAAAAAAAAAAAAAAAAAAAAAAAAAAAAAAAAAAAAAAAAACTTTTTTTTTCTGTTCCTGTGTATAAGGCGCACCCCCGACTTTCAAATTTTTTCGGCGGCAAAAAAGTGCGCCTTATACACGGAGATTTACGGTAAATAATTTTTTTTGAAAGACGGGTACTTAAGTACCCGTCAATAAATCAATTTTCATCAAAATTGGATTTAGCTCCTTTTGGAATTAAGCTCTTCTATATATTTGTGTTTGTTTCCAAAGACAATCCAACACAAGCTAGCCGAGCTGAAGACTTTGATCTGCATCGGAAGAAGCTTCCAGGATGACTGCCTTAGACTGGAATCGGAAGGCAAATTGGACACATACACTGCATCAATGTCAAAGTACTGGTAAGTCAGTCCCCAAAGATTGTTTGACATGTTCTTTCTTTCTTGATCTGATTTTGTTTGGCAATTAGTCACAGTTGACTATTTTTGCCACACTCTATTTTATGACTGTGCTCAGTTAGCAATTGCTCTGCTGTCACTGGTAGTTTGGTTTGTTTTTTACTTGACTGCTAAGAAAGCATGTGCATGCTTGTAAGTATTAAAACAACCAGGAGACCGATGGTCATAAGTTCTTTCTGAGGGACTTGGTAATGAGGATTAATGCCTTACCAAAAGGCGCTAGCACATTGACTTGGTTTTGAACCTGGGACCTCCCAGTTATGAGACCACTGCTCTACCACCAAGCCATTGCGCCTCCACATTTCTACAATTAATCAAATCCCTCATTCAATCCTGAACGTAACACCCAGCTCTAAACCTTGCATAAAGTCCAATCACAACCCTTATGTCTTTGACAAAGTAAAGCTTCAAGCAAATGTCATCAGAGAAATGTAGGTGGAGCATGTATCAGATTATCACATTCTCATAAAAGGGATTACTAAAACTACATTCCAAACCCTCAAAATGTCTACCCAAAACTACTTCTAAATACTAAAGTCACACACCTATTAATGGAGAAATAAGACAAAAAGGTGTGTTATTTGTCAGAACAATTGATTTCTGTTTTGTTTGTGAATTTGTCTATCATGCCCAAAGTTTTAGCAATAAATGTACTACCTAGGACTGTTACAGAGAATCAAGTTTAACCAGGATGTGTGTTAGGGTGTCTACATGTACTTAATTATTTCTATTAAGGTCATGATGTCCTGTTCTTTTAGTCTACCATATCACATTGAATGATCCACTTCCAGGAACACAGGTTTTTAGTGGGATGAATGGAATTAAAGCAGGATGTGGGCTCAAATTAAGCCTAATCTCATTACCCCTTCATTCGTTTTCAATGGGCATTTTATTTGCCCTATTTCACACACTAAGAAGATCATATTCAATGGCAAGGGCCAGTGGCAAATGTTTGGGCTTATCTTCTTTCCTTGTTCTATTTTGTTGACTTGTAAAAGTTCTGTTTAAACATGAAGAAGAAAGAGAGGTTAGAATGTGTGGTCTTTTGTTTGAGCTTTAAAGATCCTGTTCACTGAAAAGATGTTCTTCCTGCCTAATAATTTATAATATATAATGTTCAATTTAGGTGGGAGTTGTTTGAGAAAAAAAATTAGGAGAGTCATACACCATGCTCAAAACACTTTATAGAAAATTTAGATGTTTGAAATGTTATAAAGTCCAAAATGTATTCTTGCGACAAAATGGTGGTTTGAAGCCATCGGTGTAAAATAAGCATAACTTTCCTCATAGAAATGTCCATACCAGTATACATGTACATGTACTATATTCATATTATCAACTTCAAATATCACTTCTGTGAGGAGAAATTTAAGTATTCTCCTAACCAAGAGCAATGAAATGTAATTGCAATGGAAACAAGTTATTGATCATTTTATTCCTTTACTTGTCTTGTTGCCAGGGGCTCTGATGTCATCAACAAGGTAGCAACGGAATGCCTTCAGCTCCACGGTGGATGGGGTTACATGTGGGAGTACCCCATCGCTAGGGCCTTCTGTGATGCTCGAGTGGGTGCCATCTATGGAGGTAGCAATGAGATCATGAAGGAACTTATCTACAGACCCATCGTAGCCTCTAACTAAACTGAGTGGCGTGCACCTTGCAAGATGTGCCCCAGAGTCTTTCCTGTCTTAAGTTAATATTAACTCATTCCCAATGCAAACCTTTATAGTGTATAGGGAATGATATGCTACTTTTATGAAAGAAAATGATAAATTAAACAAATCCCCTAAATGTAAATTGGGTAACTAAAATCAGTTGTAGCATTCAATGTGATGACATTTAAACAATATTGAATATTATAACTATATCTTACAAAAAATATATCTAGATGAAACAATATGTAAATAATATGTCCAAAACTTGCTTAAGGCATATTAGCCAAGTGATTTATTAATGTTGCTCAAATTATTTACGCTCTCCAAGTCTTGGACTTGTAGCTATATCAAGCCAATATGTGAAATCTGAACAGGTTTGTAAGAAGTCATGTACATAGGTTTCCTATGATCTTAATTTGAATTTGAAAGTGAATTTGGTAGGCACCATATTTTGAATAAATAACAATGAGTGGTTTTGAGTATCAAAGGACAGTAGAAGCTTCTGTATTGATTACTTCACAATGGGTTATAACATCTTGTATCAGGATTTATAGTGCAATGAGTGTTTCAACGTGACCAAAGATATAAATGACACTCATTTGATGTGACAGAATTGTTCTAGTTTGGTCTTTTTTCTCTCTTTTTTTTACGCTGGTGTTTTTTATGCTGTTCTTTTCTTCTATTTTTGCAGCTTGTAGCAAGCCATCATATTGCTTTGTTACACAATGATTAATTATTAATACTAAAACTCTTAGTACTTGCTATATAAGGTAATTGTAGTATAAATTACATTGAACAAACATTATCTTAGGATTTACCTTAAAGTATGGTAACATAGCAACAGTCCTCTCTCCACCATGTGGGAGGGTTCTTGAGAGTATGTTTCAAGTGATTTACATTCATTTCATTTAGATTCTTCTTTTTTTCCTTTATTGCAACATGTCAGTTGTCAATGATGAATTGTATCACAATCCTGACATATTAACAAGACATTTAAACTTATGATTTGGACTATTAACACTCTTATTTAAGGTGCCATTCATCTTCAATTCTGTTGATTCTGTCGATGGGACTGAGAAAAACGTAATTAACCAAACGTTATTAAATCACATGTGGTAGAAATAATTGTTTTCTTCTAGTATTCTAACAATTCCTTATCCTGAAAATATATATATTTATGCTTCACTTTCTCTTCATTCTACATGCTTTTTAGTTGTTTTTGTTTTAAATTTGTACGGCAGTGCTTGGTATTAGCATTGACTTGTTAACACTTCTTATGTTTTGTATTCATTTATGGTAATGAATTTCTTTATCTGGGTGTCAATCTGGCCATTGACCATGCCTATGTGTATTCAGCATCATCTTCCATGCATAAAGATAAAATCAAGTTCTTTTCATTTGATTGTATTTTGAAAGAAACTATGTGGAATCGATTGGAAAAGGTTGATCCTGTAGCATTCAAGTATTAGTGTATACTGTGAGGAATTGGGATCATCAAAATGATAAGAAACTGGCCAAGTCCACTTGCTCTGGACACAGAAATGTGCACATGGGACTACGCAATCATGTGGCATGAATATGAGGGCATGAATATGAGGGCATGAATATGAGGGCACTTGAGGTGCATTCCTTTTCAGGAGGCAATTTGCCACGATATTCTTCCACAGTAACATAACAAGAACGAAACGAGCTACAAAATTATTGATTTTGAATGTGTAAAGATGTCAGTGCAGTCTGTATTACAGATGGATGGAAGTTCAACTTTCTCTCCAGTTTTCCATGTAAATCTTGAAGGGCAGTAGCTATACAATGTATATTATCCTTACCTCATATGGCCATTCTTGAACAGAGTTGTTTGAAAGACATGGTTTATTAGAAGTTATTCTTGTAAAACAATATTTTGTGAAAATATTATATATTTGTTGATGACCTATACTTGCTGTGAGCTTATGGGGATATTTTTTTAGTGCCAGAATATAATTTCATGTTGAATATTAACAAATAATTTTTAATTTACTTTTTAGGGCTTGTGATTTGCAAAGTAGAATTTCAAGTACTTGGAATACTGCCTTGACCAGTGAACAAGTACCTGTATAGCACCTCACATCTAATGTTATTTATGCATTGTATCTGTTTTCATCTTGTAATGTTTCAATAGAATGCAATTGTCTAGCATAGAAATTAACCACCGATATACAAGTATACATGTAGTTTGTATATCACAGGGTATTTTGATTATTTTGTAAATGATTATATTTGATATGCTAATACAGGAAGGCATTATATGTACGATTTGATGTATGAATTCAATAAATACATGATGAATGTACTTCTGCATTTACGTTGTATGATTTATAGCTAAGCTGTAATACAGTAATGCAATTTAACTGCTTTGTAGCACTATTATGGCATCAAATCACATTTTTAAGTACATCAATGGTTCTTAACCCATAGGTCATGACTTTGTTGGGGGTCATTTCAGAATTTTCTGGGAGGTATTGAATAGACAATATGAACAAACCCACATTCAAATATATATTGTGTTGTACTGTTGCATTAGGATAGAGGGGTATAAATGTACTGCCTACAAATTGCATGGTAGATTGGGAGGGGGGGGGGGTCATTTTGTGGGACCTGAAATGTTAAGAATCATTGATGAAAAACACTCTTCAGAGAATGCAGCTCACTTCACTTTAAAAAACTTACAAATGTTAAACAGCTTCTCAGTTTTCAACTTGTGCTTTTATTTTTTTTATGTGGCCATAGCAGGAGCCTCATACATATTATAAACAAAATATTTGAGGATACATTAGTATGCTAATAATCCTGAAATGTAACCCTAGACTCCTAGAGGCAAATTTTACTTAACCCCAGTGCCCTAGTTACAACAGATTATTCAACATTTCTTATTCAGATAGAGGTAAGAAGCATGATATGATGGGTTACAATGCACAATTTATATTATGTCAATTGTGTATATAGATAAAATGTCTCCATATCAAAACTCATGACATTAGAAATCAAACCTCTCTTCCAAAATACATTTTCAAAAATGTGCCAAATCCACTACACTTGGTAAATTGAAGACTCCAACAAATTATTTAAAAAACCTACCAGATCCACTCTTTTCTTCTGGGAAAAGGAGAATGACAAAGGCTTCTTGCACTAATAGTGTATACAAATTTCTCCAGGGCATTGGTTGACCTCTAGGTTCATACCAAATTACAATGACAATTTCTAGTACCAGCTAGATATCAAAACACTTTGGTATAAATAAATCAGAGTGAAGTAAATAACATGTACTTCCAACAATGACTTACAACAAACACTTCATCTACACATACAAATTTGTCCTAATTGAACACGGTATTTTCATACTTCCATACGACTCCCTTCATTATCTATTTATAACAATTCTATTATTTACAACATTTAAGGGATGGGAGTAATTTTCTATTTACAAAGGCCATGTTTTTCATTGGTATTGAAAACATATCTCATATATCACTAATCATATTTCAGTGGCAAGATCAATAGAGATGATGCAAACCTATGTGTGACTTGTGATCTGATGAACAGCAGTCAATAGAAAAACATACATGTGTTGACACTCAATAACAAAAAAACATGAACTTTAAGGGGGGAAAAAACACAGGAAATTATTAATTTAAATGGAATGAACAAATTTTTTACAAGAAAAGAAAAATGTAAAACTATAAGAAATACAGTACATAATACAAGCAGAAACAGACTTTAAAAGGACCATAACAATAAATATAATTAACAGATCCTAAAGTTTAGTAGTTACTTTAACATGAAACACAAATTAGGAGTATCGTAAAGGAAAAAAAAGTTTGTAACAAGTAATATATTCTCTTCTCGTCATTCTCCCAATAAAAAATGCATTTAATCAGAAAATGAACTAAATGGAAATCTATACAAGCTTAAATAAATATCTAATACGTGTACATCTTGGTCCTGTGTACGTCTTTATCTTCACATTCCCTGCTCCTATTGTAGTAGTAGTAGAGACCATCTTTCCTCTGCAGCTTCTTCACATAACCTGTCTCGGGCCATCGGTTGGGCTGTAATTAATAGATGAAAAAATGTAACAATTGATGCTACAATTATTCTTTGATTAAATTATTCCAACACTCCCACAACTTAAATATCGAGAAAAGTATTCTCAATTCTCAATACTCCAAAAGTTTTTGAAAAAAACACACAACAGTGGACAGCCTCATGAATAAAATTTATCATACCAGTACTTGTGCTGTGTTACCTAAAGAAATGTACTTTTTATTCATGTATTTTTTAACCACATGTACAGTACATAAAAACTGCAGTACAGTTTTAGAGTGTTAACAGTAAATCACTTGACTAAAATTATGTACTTCCTGAATTCAGTCCACTTTAATTTTGTACTCACTATCTTTGAGATCCATTTAAGTTGAATTTGCTTGAGCACAGATTCTTTTCAAAATGAAAGAGATTTTAAGATTTCATGGCTTTCCTTCTCTTGGCCTATTCACCAACCTGCAAACAGCAGTTTTTATGATTAATGAATTCAAGCTTATTTAGATTTAAGTCAAATATACTCAAAAGTATGTTGTAAGATGCAGGATCAGAGGCGAGTGTCTTTTTCTTCCCTTTTCATCATCTTTTTTTCTCTCAGGCCTATCTTCTTTCTTAGCTATTCATATCTTTTCTTGAATTCTTTTTCATTGTCTTTCTTATTTATTCAAGCTTTTTTAAATTAAGTAATGCATTATTTTTAACTTATATGTTCACTCAGTGATCTGATTTGTAATTCAGCATCTGGCTGTATAATATATTATTAAATAAACCATTTTGAATTGAATACAGGAAAAAAAAAAGAATATCAAGATTATATTTGGTAGATCCTTGGCTTCAACTCACCTCATCTTTTTTAATAGAAGTATATTCAACAGCATCTCTGTATCCAGCCAGCTGGAATCTGTAGTTCTCTTCTACTTCCTCTGACCAGCGTTTAGGCCTGGTCATTCCCTTGGGTTCTTGTGCTACGGCAACAGCCATGTTTAGATGGTTCTTAGGCAAGGAGCAGTAATCTGTGAGATGAAGGGCATGAGAGAGAGAGAGAGAGAGATATATATATATTATTATTATTTAAGTACAAGGCAAGACAAGGTTTACTGAATGGTATGATTTGGAGGCCTAAAATCTATATTTTTAAACCTAAATTAAGGCTAATATTTGACTTATTTATTTTGTGGGCCATGAATTTTCGTCTCGAGTCTGGTCTTGTGCTTCAATTTTTCCTGTGCCTATTCTATTAAGTCAAGAGTTATTCTGCCAAAATTCTCGTCAGATTCAAGCAAGAACAACGTCATTTTCACAAGAAAAGGCAGCAGTGTTATTTTGACATTGCAAAATCAAAGGTTCCAAGGCCCATGTCTGCACCTTCATATTTATGCATATCTAGACTAGACAGTTCAGGATTTTTGACGTGAAAGATAAAGAGTACGGTCACTATAATACTAGGGGCATATGTTTAGGCTAGCATTTCTTAGCATGTCTCAGTCTCACTCTCGCTCAACCATGGCATGACCATGTCAGCAAGGTCTCTGCTCAGTTCTTCAATTCTGAAAATTAAGCCGTTTTGTTTAATCTGCAAAAAGTCATCTAGACTAGAGATCTATCATCTAGTCTATCTAGATGTGGGGCATGCTATTCCCAACCTAAAACAACTAGAGATAGAAGAGGGCATATAAATTAATACCAACACTAAAGACTAAGTAACACTAACAGTAACGCTACAGGCAATTCCAACAGACCCACTCAAGAACGGACACATTCGTGAACTCCTTCTTTATGAGAACAGTGCGTGATTGGAACCAGCTTAAACCGGAGACTATCGTCCACACTGATCCTGTCAAATTAAAAACTCCCCTGATGCCCCCCCCCCCCCCCAATCTACAAATTACAAATAGATCTAGACTAGATCTAGATCTAGGTCTAACAAAGTTTTTTTACACCCTATCCCGCCATAGTATCCGCACCTCCAGTTAAAACTCAGAGTCAGACAAGTATTTTTGGAGGACCAATTAACCAACCAAGAAGAAGAAGTCTACTTTTTTTAATATCAATGCTTAGTCTAGTCAAAAAATGGCTTGTGAGCTCCGTCCAGCTGCACACTTTCTCACTCACTCACATGCATGGCCATCAAGGGGCATGCTATTCCCAATCCCATGCATACGGTATTGCATGGCTGCAAAAAAGCATGATCATTGAATTGAATGCATGCAGTCAGAACAGCAACAAAAAGCTAGATCTCGCTTTTCAACACACATTTAGGTCTAATACATAAGGTAGACAACGCAGAAAGCAGTGCAAATAACTTACATTTTGAAGAAAGAAAAACACAAGACTCTCGACCCGGTATTACAACTTGATTTAGACGAGTTTACAAAGAGAATGTCCAGAGCAGTGTGAAATCAGATGTGCATGAATGAATGAATGCGGATATTGTTGTTGTGTGTTGCTTAGCAGTGTGACGTGTTTACATGGCCTTTCTCGATCCCTGGGTATAGTCTCGCATCTGAAATCTCGATATTTACGAGACAATGTGATGAAGATAGGCTTTATGCCAGAGGTTTTTATAATTCATGATTCACGATACGTAGAATGATTGGATAAAACGTACGTGAGTGAGTCTAGTCAGAAAGACCTATGACAACACAATATTATTATTATGATTTCTTTTCAAATCAAAAGTCTAGACAGACGCTTCTTCTTCTGACTAAGTCTGCCTCCTTCAATTGACTGAAGATTCTTGCAAACTCTCAAGAAAAGATATGAGCGTTGAGCTAATTTCTTTTAAATGAATTGTGAATAATAACTATGTTGGATTAGAATTTCCATCCCTACTCCCTGCTTGCATCATGATCGACTAGACAAGCATCTACATTAAATCATATACCTATAATGTAATTAGCCTAGATAATTTAAATGTATAGACATGCCGAATGAGAAAAAAATTCTTCTGTTTTCTAATATATTAGTTATCATCATCATCAGCATCGTCATTATTATCAAAACCTATATACTGGCCCTTTACTATTATAGTAGTAGTAGTGTTAATTGTTGCTGTTAATGTATGATTATTATTATCATTGTTATTATCATTAAATTAATCTTCTTATTATTATTAGTTATTATTTTCATCGTTATTATTATCATTATTCATGATTATCATCATCATCATCATCATCATCATTATCATTAATCATCCTCTTCTTAATCATCATTCACTGATATTATTATTATGGTTACTTCTTTATCGTAGGATCGGCAGTAATAAGTTATTTTATCTAGGGTCTTAAAATCGGGATTATAGCATTACCCTGGGAGCCACGGGTACAGGTCATTTTATTGGAATCCTGGGGCGGTATTCTGAACCCTGTGTTATCTCTAATATTGTTGTATCTTTGATTGGTAGGGTCCATAAAAATGGGCGTGTCATCAATGGTCAAAGATAAGATAGAGGCGGTCCTTCAAGAGATAACACAGGGATAAAACAATGTTCAGAATACCAACTTACAACAATATTAGCGCTGTGTTATCTCTGGAAGATACAACAAAAGATAACACAAAACTTACAACAATGTTCAGAATACCGCCCCTGAATTCGACCCTATACCTCAGCATCGGCATCAGCAACACAACTTGACCTTCTTCTTCTATATATATATATATATATATATATATATATATATATATATATATATATATATATATATATAATATTTTTTCCCGTAACATGAGAGTAATTTTAATAGTTTCATTCTTGTAATTAAATGTAATGTTAATTGTTATTGTATAATTGTTTTAAATGGGGGCACGCTACAACTGAACCGCCGGGGCACGGCTGGTTGTAACAACTACTCCGAAGATCAAGATACATTAAAGGAGACACGAACGGACGAACCTAATTCTAGAATACTCCTCAACGTCCCGTTAGGCAGGGCCGTAGCCAGAGTTTGATGTTTTTTTTTTTTTTTTTTTTTTTTTTTTTTTTTTTTTTTTTTGTTGTTGTTGTTGTTTTTTTGTTTGTTTGTTTTTTTTTTTGGGGGGGGGGGGGGGGGTCACATACATGTAATTGATCGACGTCCTGGGGAGGGGTGGGGCACGTGCTCCCCCCCCCCCCCCCCCCCCCCCCCCCCCCCCCGTGGCTATACGGGCCTGCCGTTGGGAACCAAGCGAGGAGGATTATATTATTGTAGAAGGGGATATAGAGATGACATCGAAGTCTAAAACAGCTCAAACAATAATCATTCATTCATCGAAACAGAAAAGGCACGTGAAATATGTCAGTTCCTGATGGGTTTGGATAAATTTGTTCTGTCAGGAATGACCCTTTTGATGCCCCCCCCCCCCCCCCCCCCCCACCGACAACTTGCATCTATAGTCGGATAGTTTTATCGTTAGTGAAGTCCTGTGGACATTCATAATTCTTCTCGACAGGCGCGCCGGAAGCAGTTTGGGATGGGGGGGGGGGCAAACATTCCAGGGGGCTCACCTTCAGGGGCAGTGGCGTAATGAGCAAAAACGTTTGAAAGGGGGGGGGGGGCGCAGAAGAAAAATCTGCATCACCACCACTCTTACACGTTACATGCAGGCCCCGCCGAACGTTTTTCAAAGTGGAGTATTAACGATCAGGTAGAGCGTAAATTGGCGTGGGGTTCAGGGCCTGAGGCCCGGCAAGGGGGTCAAGGGGCTGAGCCCCCGGAAGCTCAGGATTTTTAGGCATATACGGTCAGATAAGCATTAAAAAAAATTATTTAGATACCTTATATGTGACACTGGGTCACTAATTAGCGGGGAGTCCAGGAGCAGAGCCCCCGGAAGTTCAGGGGTTTTAGGTATTTAATTACAGTTAGATGACAACCGTGCAGGGGCCCTCCTTAAGGCCATTGATGAGGTTCAGGGGGCAAAGCCCCCTGAAGCTCAGAGGTTTTTATATAGATATTTAACTACGGTCAGATGACCATCCACGGGCCCGCCTTTGAGGGTCCTTGGTGGGGTCCAGGGGGCAGCGCCCCCGGAAGCTCGGTTTTTTTTAGGTATTTAATTACGGCCAGATGAGCATCTAGGGGCCGCCTTAGGGCCCTTGGTGGGGTCCAGGGGGCAGAGCCCCCGGAAGCTCGAGGGTTGTAGGCATTTAATTACGGTCAGATGAGCATATTTTGATACCTCATTTGTGACATTGGCAGGTCACTTATCTTTTTTTCTCTCTCTTTCTTTCTTTTTCTCTGTAACATACTTTTTCAAAAAGTGAGGAGGGCTCGAGCCCCCGAGCCCAGTCGTTCTGCAAGCCCTGACATGAAGGCTTCTATAAATAAGCATATTTTTCTCGCCCGACTGTAAATTTGTTTTAATTTTCCATTCACGCATAAAAAGGTATTACTTACAAAAAAATTGAGAAAAAATACCGGAAAATCATGTCATTCAGCAACATTTGTAAATCACTGGTATTGAATAAGAAATAACACCCCTCCCCATCAGTACGCCATCGTTCAGGGGCTCATGTCTCATCACCCCTATAACAAACAGCACATTTTTCACAATATGCGCGTATCACTATTTTATAAACCTCCATTGATATAGGTGGCATGCGGAATGTTTGAAAAAATTAATTCCTGTTAACTTTTCTTTTCTTTGAATGGAATTTGATATGTGATTTAATTCAGGTTTTTATTATTGTTATGTTTTTTGGGTTAAAAATACAAACCATCTTTACTCCTTTACTGCTTTTTTTTTTTTTTTTTTTTTTTTTTTTGGGGGGGGGGGGGGGGGAATGCGTTTTTCACCTCACTTTTTTGGTAGGGGGGGGGGGGGAAGTGCCCCCTGCCCCCCCCCCCCACTTCCGGCGCTTATGCTCGTGATGGATAAAAAATATTTCTCCATGTCTTTCTCTGATTTGCCACCTGTTACTTCATAACGGGTTAGTAACGTGCACTTTGCAATTTTGTTTGTATGTATCTATTTTCAATAATAAATTTTGTATATCTTTAAATGGAACAAAATGTGCAATTCAGCCTTTGGCTGCTAATCATTTGACGAATAAACTCTTTTTGAATTGAATTGAATTTTGAACGGGATGGGTAGCGATCCCGATCCCGGGGGGGGGGGGGACACGTCCCCCTTAATTTTCTCTTAGGAGAGATCGATCGTCTCCCCCAGAAAAACTCGAAAAAGTGCACACTTAAAATGTATAGCAAATACTGACTAAAGTCTGCCACTTATTTTTTAGGCTCCGGAGGGCCCAGTGGTGCAGCGTTTAGACTAATAGAAATAATCTCGCTCGGTCGCTACGCCCCCTCGCATAATATGTTCAAAATGTACAATAAATCTCCCTGCCTTATTCCTAAAATTTACCGACTAAATATGTATAACCCTTATAGGACTGCTCACTAATTACCGGCAAAGTAAAATTGAAGTGTGAAAGTAACACAAAGGGACGGGCACACAATTTTATTTTCTCAAGTTCGTCTCCGCTTACCCAATTTCTTCAGGCTTAGCTAGTAGAGATCGAGTGGAAAATGTAATGTATGTAATTTAAGAAATCTGTACTATAGCAAAGTGGCGTACTTTACACTTTAAGTATTGAACAAAGAGGGAGTCACGGTCCCGCCGCCCTTTAGGGGGGGGGGGGTGGTACTCAGATTTGGTTCGGACAAGGGTGTGCCGCTGAAGCCTCGAAACCCCATTTGGGGGGATTTTTCTCGAAATAACACCCATCATTCCACACTTGATTTTCGGGTGTTTGCCATGCAAACATACGAATATCATTGAAATTTTGAAAAAGATGACCCATGTCTACACCTTAGAGAACCAGATTAGATGAGTAAGGGGCCTAATATAAAATAATGTTGTCCAATACATGCCCCAACGCGATTTAGTGACGTCAGGATTGAATAGACTTGCCAGCACTTGTACTCATACTCGTATGCATGTTGCGTACGTACGGTGCGTCGAGCGCGTACGTAATACATTATTTATCACATACACAATTAATTAGCGGCGCGCCGTCGAATATAATAATACGCTGCGTCCAAATTCTATGGAAACCTAAGGTCAAGACAGGGAGATCTAACATAGACTCGGCTGAACGAGGTAAAGAAATTCCCTGGACGAACTAACGGTAATTCGCCAATTAAGCTGTGTTTGTGAGCTGAGTTTGAACTTTGAGAGGCAGCAGTTGCAGGTACAGGTGTATGTGACTGAGCTGCAGACCGCCAGGCCAGGGGAGGGTACAGGTGGAGCATTGCCTCTCCGCCTCTGCGAGAGACTACAGTGAACACACGACTTCGCGCTTCGAAGGCTTGGAGTTGGAGAACTAATAGATCTAGTAACTCTGTCTCGATCTTGGGGAGATTTCCAGCACTGCACTGCATAAGATTTCTTCAGAAGCTAGAGTAAACCTTAAGAGACATCAAAAGACTGAAAATGGCAGAACCAACAGATTCTTGCTTCAGCAACATACTCATGCTGACG